ACGTATGGTGGGAAAGTGCACCTGACCGGGTCTCGAGAGTCCCAGCCGCCAACGGCGATGCTCCCTGCGTTGGGTCACTGGGATTCTTCATGTGTTCTCCAGCTGGCCCCTGGGGCGTTGCGGTACCTGTGTTCTTTGTTCCTGCCGAGCTCTCTGTAATCTGAACGATGCCTTGTGGGTTTCGGCCTCCCCTGTCATCCAGTGCTCTGAGCTCTCTGTAATCCGAACAATGCCTTGGTTTCGGCCTCCCCTGTCCTCCAGTGCTCTGCTCTCCAGCTCGCTGATTTCTACACAGCGTCCAGGCTTCCTGCCTCACAGTGATCTAACCCCCTGGGTTCTGGACCACTCACTCGATGATCACATACTTCTCTTAGGAGATAGTTGGTGTGAAAGCTTTACCTTCCCAACTAGTTTGTAAATTCTTAGTATAGGGCGTTTGTGTCCTCCTGGAGCCTGGCACTCTGGGTTCAGTGAAGTCTTGTTGGTAGAAAAGGCACTCTGTTCATACCAACTGAAGATTTTCATCCCGCCATGTCCCTCATTTCCATTAAAGGCCTGTTTGAGGTTGGCCTTGCTTTGGCTCCTGATCCCACCCCAGCCTTGGTTACAGTGATTTGGCATTGCCCGCTTCATTTAAGCTTCTGCCACCTCCCCATGTAATGAAACTCTTAAAAGAGTTTGCTTTGTGAAACAGCACTTTTTTCCCCAAATTCTCCCCTCAATCTTTGTGGAAGATGTTTTTATTCCAGCGTCCAAGCTTTTCATTTATTTTAAGGATTCCAATCCTTTCCTCATTTTCCAGGTGAATTCAGAAATCTAATAGGAGAGCTTTAATTCCCTTCCAGGAAGAGTGGGGCAGGGACTAATAGTGAGCACCCACTGCGTGCCCTTCCAGGAGGCGAGGACAGGCTTAGTGGGACATGAACCCTGGCCTACGTAATACCAAGTTCAGGTCACACTCTGTCAGGCTGTGCTGCCTTCCAGCCTCAGTCTGTGGTTCTGTTACCTGGTTAGTTGGTTTTTGTCTCCACATCGCTGTCCTTCTGGCCCTTGGCCACTTCACCTGACCTCTAAAACTGACTTTTTTTTTTTTTTTTTTTGCTGAGGAAGATTAGCACTGAGCTAATGTCTGTGCCAGTCTTCCTCTATTTTGTATGTGGGTCGCCACCACAGCATGGCTGATGAGTGTTGTAGGTCCATGCCCAGGATCCAAACCCACGAACCCAGGCTGCTGAAGCAGAGCACGCCAAACTTAACCAGTAGGCCATGGGGCTGACCCAAAAAAACTGACTTTCTTTTTGAGTGTGTGATAAGGAGGCTCAGTATACATACTGAGGGCTGGTACAGCTGCTTGAAGCTCTTTCTAACCTAAGTAACATGTCTCATTGGAATTAATACTATTCCCAATGATGCCCAACCTCGCATAAGGTTATAAATCTTAAAGTCAGCACCTAGCCTGAAGTGCCTCAGACCCTTTCTTGGTTGGTAACAGATTGGAGAGTGTATCACCCTGTTACAGAGAGTTGGGGTCATTTGCCATGATTTCCTGGTTCTCACCCACCTTGAGTCTGTGAACCATTTTTTTGTCTGCTCGCTGTCTGGAAGTTTCCTGTAATTCATCCCCATTGGCTTGGCTTTCTTTTCCAGGAGAAGCTTAGTGTCATTTTTATGCTTGAGGGGTTCACTGTGTTCTCCACCTTCCAGTTTTGTTTTTTAATTAGAAAACTACAGAGAAGTACAAAGAATAACATAACAAATACCCATGTACTTTCCACCCAAGTTTAATAAATGTCAGCATTTTGTTATCTCAAGTTTTTTAATCCAAGAAAAAACATTACAGATAAATTGGAAACCCATCTGGTTCCTTTCCCAGGCCCTTCCCCTCCTTCCCTAGGGGCAGCCACACTGATGAAATCAGTGGGTAGCCTTCCAGGTTATGTTTTTATACTTTTATTACAAAATATAGTATTGTTTTGAGTTTTTAAACCTTTGTAAATTGTGTGTCACAGGAATGTAACTTGTTCTTTTCACTCAATATTGGTTTTGGAATCTCATGTTGATACCCATGCCCAGAGCTGTTCCAGGCACTGAGAATAGGACTGAATAAAACAGACTCCTTTCCTCATGGAATTTTCATTCCCGGGGGTATGGGGAGGCATATGAGGTATGAATGGACCGCAGTTTACTTGGCCATTCCCCAACTGGTGGGCTCAGGTTCACTATTACAAACGACACTACAGAGGACATCTCTCTGTGCCTCCTCGTACTTATGTACTGTGTACATAGTTTGCAAACTTTTCTTAAAGGGCCAAGAGTACATTTTTTAGGCTTGTAAGCCATATGGTCTGTCACAACTACTCGCTTCTGCCCTTCTTGAAAGCTACTATAGACAGGATGTAAACAAATTATTTATGAACACCAGGGATTTAATTTCATATGATTTTTACATGTTGTAAAATATTCTTTTGAATTTTTTCCAACCGTTTAAAATTGTAAAACCCGTTCTTAACTTGGGGTGTACATATCTTGGCCCACAGGCCGAGTCTGCAACTAATGAGTTACTCCAGAGCCTTTATAAAGGTGCTCCAGGGCCAGCCCAGTGGCACAGTGGTTAAGTTCAGTGCACTCTGCTTCAGCAGCCCGGGTGTGGTTCCTGGGTGTGGACCTACACCACTCATCGGCCATGCTGTGGCAGCGACCCACATACAAAATAGAGGAAGTTCAGCAACAGGTGTTAGCTCAGAGTGAATCTTCCTCAGCAAAAAAAAAAAAAAAAAAAAAATAGATGCTCTAGGCCCAGTGACAGATGAAAACAGGAAGTGTGAGGGGAAGTTGCTGACCAGTTCTGACCATTGAGAAATACCTGGGAAAGCCCTTAGGAAGCTGGAAGGATGAATAACAATGAGGGGTCTCTGGAGCCAGGCCCTTTGCCAGAAGATCATTTTGGTCCAGCTCAGCCCATGTGTGTCATGACTGGTAACACTCTCTACTTGGTCTTTACTCTCCCAAGGGTGGGTCTGAAGTCTGGATTGAGCCATTATCCAAGAAGTATAGCTATCTGAACAGGAAGGTAGGGTAATGGGAATGGCAGGGGCTTGGGGAACCTGACAGCAAATCCTGCCTGGCTCCACCACTGACTGGTTCTATGATCTTGGGCAAAGCCCTTCACTTCTCTGAGGCCATCCCTTGTCTATAATGGGAATAATCCACACCATTCCACTTGGTAGGATGAAATGACGAAGTGTAATGGAAAGTACCTGACATAGATGAAGTGTCCAATAATTGCCAGCCAACACTTCCCGGAACAGGCAGCTCACTTCCTGCGGAAGCAGCCCACTCCATCTTGAGCTGAACACTGGCTGGCTGTGGCTTCCTCTCCCTGTCCCACTTCTAGCCCTTGAGACCACGCAACAACCCCCTCCTCCTTTTCCCCAGACAAAACAATTTGCTTTCTTCATATCATGATCTTGACTCCTTTCACCATTCTGGCCACCTTTGTTAGAATTAACATATTTTCTGAACCAAATATCTGACACACTTAGACTGTAGGTGAAGATAAAAGTTTGGGTCTAGAGCTGGCCTGGTCATTGGCTAAGAGATTCGATGGTTAAGAGTTTAAGACTTGGGCACAGGGCAGGCCTTGGTTGTGCTACGTGGGCCAGTTACTTGACCTCTCCGAAGTCAGGTCTGTCTTCTGCAAAAGGGGAAATGCTTCTATTACCTTCCTCATAGGCTTATTCAAAGGAATGCATTCGATAATGTATGCAGAGTGCTCAGCACAACGTCTGGGGCAGGCTGAGTTCTCAGAGGTTCTTTGGGGGAGGGGAAAGGAGCATGTTTGCGAATGTGAATCTTCTTCCCTCTACAGTTCTGTTAAACCCTCCCCTCTACTCCCGCGGAGCTGGGCATGGAGCTGGGCTCAATCAGTGTGTGGTGGCCAATTGCCTAGCCTGAGATGGAGTGGCGGGCCAATGCCTGCGAGCAGGACGAGGACCAGAGGCTGGATGTGAATAGACCAGCAGGTGAAGTTGCTGCCAGCTCTGGCCACCAGAGGGCGCCCCTGCCCCAGAGATGGCCTAGCCCAGTCAGACACACCCACTCCTCGTCCAAAGATGTCTCTGTGCCTTGGCACGTTGTGGGGTAAATTGGGACAGAAAGTGACAGCCTTGGGTGCAGTCTGTCATACTGCCCTGGGCAGGCCCCACGGCCTGTGGAAAACTCTCAGGCCCAAGGCAAACGTCTGGGTGTATCTCTGACTCTATTACCTATGACCTTGGGCCAGGCACTTCTCTCCTTGGCCCAGTTCACAGAGTTGGAACAGACTCCAAGGTCCCTTCCAGCGCTAACTTTGCGTGGTTCTAGGATTCAAAGCCGGAGCAGTTTCTTCTTTCTCACCCCCAGCCCTTCTCCACCTCAGGGCAGCACACACACTCTGGCTGGCAGTGAACCTGACCAGGAAAGCCACATGTCACAGACCCCCAACTCTAAAGCCCTGGGCCACTGCTGGGGGAGGTGGGTAGTGTGGGAGGAGGAAGAAGAGAAAGGTCAGGTGAACCAAGAGCCTTGAAGGGTCTTGCTTCATTCAGCACAGACATCCGGTTTCCTCTGGTCTCTGCCAGGATTCCGGGGGCTTAGAGGAATGAGTCATGGGGGGATTGGGGAGTTCCCAGCTAACCAGTTTGGAACAGGAACCTTGGATGGTGCCTATCAGAGCGTAGGGTGGGGACAGGAGGCATACCCCAATATCCCAATCTCAGGCCCCTGGCCCCACAGGAAAGGACTCAGGAAGGCAGCCTCCTGGGAGTTTGGGGATAGGAATGGGGGCAACTAGCTTCTTTCCTCTCAGAACTGGGGGGGCGGGGGGGGCAGGGAGGGGGCCTAGGAAGCAGGTGGCTTGAGAATCCCTAGAGAGAGTGCCAAAGGGAGCTGCCCCAGCAAGTCTCCCCAGGGAGGGAGGGAGGGGTCCCCTGGGGGCCTGCCTCTTCCCTGGTCAGTCTGACTCTGGCCTGCCTGGCTTGTATCAGAGGCTCAGTGCTCATTCAGCGGTTCTGTTCAAACACCCTGGGGCAATTCAGGCCTGGGTGGGGCTGAGGGGAGGAAGGGCGTTTGAGGGGGACAAGACGACGTCAAAGAAAGATCAGAGATTCCACAATTTCACAAAACTTTCGCAAACAGCTTTTTGTCTCAACCCCCCTGCGTTGTCCTGGACACCAAATTTGCATAAATCCTGGGAAGTTATTACTAAGCCTTAGTCTCAGCACCAGGTAATTTCCTCCCAGGCCTCCATGGGCTTATGTATAAAGGCCTCTGGGGCTCGTCCCTGACAGAGCCCAGAGCCTGCAGACCCACCCAGACCCTCTGCTGAGCCTGCTGCCCAGAGCCCCATGGAGCTGATAGGTGAGTGTCCTGGCCCAGGATGGCAGAGCGGCCTGCCCTGGGCATGGGAGGGAGGCTGGAGTGGCAGAGGGGCTTGGAGTCCCTGGGCCCCCAGAAAGGGACCCAGGTGAGAGCGGATGGCATGTCTCCTGAGCCTCCGCCTGCTCCCAGTCCTGCAGCTGCTGCTCTGGCACAGTGCACTCTGGACCGTGCAAGAAGCCGCCCCCCTGGCCCCTGCCAGCTCCCTGCCCCAGAGCTTCCTGCTTAAGTGTTTAGAGCAAGTGAGGAAGATCCAGGCTGATGGCGCAGCGCTGCAGGAGAGGCTGGTGAGTGAGGGAGGCTGGCGGGCAGAGAGACAGGGAGGGGACATAGATGCTGTGGGAGGGGGTGTGGAGGAAAGACCTAGAAGGCAGAGCTAAAAGGAGAGAGGAAGAGGGTAAGAGCTGAGGGAAGAGAAGGGAACCCTGCGGAGGATATCATCAGGAAGAGACTGGGAGAGGAGAGACATAGGGGAAACAGAAGAAAATTAGGAGAAGTGGAGCTGTGGGAGGCTAGAAAGGGACTGGGGAAAGAGAAGCTCTTGGGGACAGTGCTGGGAGGGGCTGGCTAGGGTGGCAGTAGAGGGTGGAATGAGGCTGAGAAGCCTGGCGGGACATGGAGTGAGGGGAAGACTCAGAGAAATAGGGGAGCATCGTGGCCCTATCGGGTCCCCTCACTCACCACCCTTTCTATCCCCAGTGTGCCACCCACAAGCTGTGCCACCCTGAGGAGCTCATGCTGCTGGGGCATGCTCTAGGCATCCCCCAGGCTCTCCTGAGCAGCTGCTCCAGCCAGACCCTGCAGCTGGTGAGTGTCTGGAGGGGAGGAGAGCGATAGGGAGGGGGAAGGATGATCTGGAAGGTTCTCCAGATCTCCAGGCTCCAAGCTGGGGCCCTGAGAGGAGCATCCCAGGCTGCACCCCGTGACTCTCCTACTCTGTCCCCCCAGACGGACTGCCTGAGCCAACTCCACAGCGGCCTCCTCCTCTACCAGGGCCTCCTGCAGGCCCTGGCAGGGATCTCCCCCGAGTTAGCCCCCATCTTGGACATGCTGCAGCTGGATGTCACCGACTTTGCCACCAACATCTGGCAGCAGGTAAGCCTCTTTGGGAGCAGCAAGTGTTAGGGGCCTAGACTGAGTTGGTCCACAAAGGTCGTGCTGCAGGCCTGGGGATCTGGAAGTTCTTTAGGGCTGGGGTGGGCGCATTCTAAGGGGCTGTATGTAGGGAGCTACCACCCCATCCCAGGACCCTCTTGCTGCTGGCCCTCCCCCACTCCCCGCTGCGGAGGACAGGAGCCCCATCACTGGACCATGAAGTCAACCTCATGATCTCCCGCAGCCCCTCAGCCCTTTGCATTTCCTCGTTTGTAATAACGCCCACTCAGCAGGGCCTGATTGCTGATCTCATCTTTCCCCCACAGATGGAAGACATGGGGGTGGCCCCTGCGGTGCAGCCCACCCATGGCACCATTCCTACCTTCACTTCGGCCTTCCAGCGCCGGGCAGGAGGGGTCCTGGTTGCCTCCAACCTGCAGAGCTTCCTGGAGCTGGCGTACCGCGTTCTGCGCTACCTGGCAGAGCCCTGAGCAAAACCCTGCCCATCCAGTGTATTTATCTCTATTTAATATTTATGGTTATTTAAACCTAATATTTAAAGACAGGGAAGAGCGGAAAGGAGCCCTAGACTCCTGGGTCCTTCCCTCCACTTCCAAGTTGTTTCGTTCTCCTGCCTGTAGCAGGGAGAAAAAGCTCCTGTCTTCCTGTCCCCTGGACTGGGAGGTAGATAGGTAAATACCAAGTATTAATTCCTGTGACTGCTCCCTGGCCCGGCTCTGTGGTGGGCACTGGGAAGATCCCCAGTGAACCCCCTACCCTGAGGTGGGGCCCTTGGAAGCATCAGGAAGTCTCCCATGTGGGAGACAAGACAGGCCTGTTTAATATTTAAACAGCAGTGTTCCCCAACTGGGTCCTCGCATCCCTGGCTCTGGCCTCAATTAGGCTTGTGTTTGCCAGGTCGGCCGGGCCTTGCCTCCCTCACGTCCTTCCCCACAGGCACTAAGCCCAGCAGAGGCGGCCAGAGCTGGGAGCCTTGACCCTGGGGCCCCATGAATTTGCTGGGGATTTTTTTTAAGATTTTTTGGATTATACAATGTTATAAACCAATGTTACTGCAATTTAAAAAAAAAGATTTTGGGGGACATGTTTTGACTCCCAGCCTGGGAAGGCCAGGCATCACTGATGTCCCCCTTGCTTTTCTGGATGCCCTATAGAGACACCAACAGGCTTGTGACGCCTGCCCCACCCCCACTAGGGTCAGGATTCTGACTCCCTTTAGGGCTAGGCACACAGTCATCTCTCTGCCTTGCTGGACTGGGATTGGGAATGTGGGAGGGAAAAGATGAGGGGGAATTATGTGATGGGGTGTATGAGAGGGAAGCTCAACTGTTCACCCTCCACCTCTGCCCCCACTGCCTCATTGTGGCCAAACTTCACAATAATAAAGTGTTTGTCTCCAGTAAATGTCCTTCCTCCTTCTTGAGTCCAGCTGGTGCCTGGCCAGGGGTTGGGGGCGGGGCGTTGAATGGTGGGTGAGGCCAGAGGGAGGGAAAGAGGAGGGGCAGGGAGGAGGGAGGCAGTTCTCCAGCCCATCAACATTCATTTCTTAACCATGCATTTATCTTGCACCTACCGTGTGCAGACACTGGGCTAAGTGCTGGCAGCACAGCAGTGAACAAGGCAGGCATGGTCGCCGCCCTCATGGGGAGACAGAAAGCAGATAGGTCACTGGTACCAAGACAGGAGAGAGCGTGGGGGTGGGGTGGGGGCCTAACAGGCTAGATGCAGACAGACACTGGCCTGAAGCAAGGGAGTATTTAATATTTGCACAGGGCTTGTCAGTGTACCATATTCTCTCAGCTTTAGCCCATCCACACTCGCAGGTGCCCACCAAGACAGAATTATGAAGTGCCTTTTACAGATCAGGAAGCTGGGGCCAGCCTGGTGGCATAGTGGTTAAGTTTGCACGCTCTGCTTCGGTGGCCCGGGGTTCTCAGGTTCAGATCCCAGGCACAGACCTACGCACCACTTATCAAGCCATGCTGTGGCAGTGTCCCGTATATAAAGTAGAGGAAGATGGGCATGGATATTTGCCCAGGGCCAATCTTCCTCAGCAAAAAGAGGAGGATTGGCAAGAGCCGTTAGCTCAGGGATAACCTTCCTCACCAAAAAAAAAAAAAATACAGATCAGGAAGCTGAGTTCAAGGTGACAGATTCGGTCAGAACTCAAATTTCAGGCTCTGCACGTCTCCCTCATCAAGCTCTGCCTCAGATCTGCAGGGAGCAGTCTCACACCAGCCTGTTCCTTCCTGCTTGTCTCAGCCTCATGGGCTGAAGAGATCTGAACTCACACCAGGGAGGGGTGAGACGTGGAGACTGGAGGTTCGAGGCATGGCTGTCTGTGCCCCCAGCTGAAGGTGCAAGGCTGCTTCCTGGCTGCCTCCACCAGCCCGTCTCCCTCCCAAGTCTTCCCCATCCTCGGCTCCTCAGTCACCTCTCACTTCCCTGCCCCATCTGGCTTCTTAGAAAGCAGGGTCTGGCTGAGCAGGGCTAGAACCCTCAGCTGTATGGCTCAGGGCTCCCTCTCTGGTTGGTCCTGAAGAAATCGGGGCTTGGAGATGTGGGAACAGGCAAGGAAGGGTTAAAGAGAGTATCTGCCCCTCATCCCCCGGGTCCTCTAGTGGAGAGGGCAGATCAAACTCTGAGATAGTCAGACTCAGTGGGGTTGGGCCCGGTTGGGGAGTGTCAGAAGAACAGGACACCCTAACCCCAGCACCAGTGGGGCCTTTAGCCAAAACCTCTCCCTTTTCAAAGTCTGACTTTGAGAGGGTGGGGGCAGGTGGCAGGTGGGCGGGTATTGACTCGTTATCACCCAACACAGACCTGAGGAAGGGAAGCTGTTCCCGTTGCCCTGCCCTGCTCAGACTGAGCGGATGAACACAGGACTCTGAGCCCAGCCCTGCTCTGCACACCTCTCTCTCCCTCCTCACCCACAGGAGCCTCTCCCTGGGCCACAGCACAAGGGACTCCAAGGAGAGGACATTGTTCCCCGCCCCAGTCAGACACAGGCACTGACGGCATTTAAACAGTCAGAAAGGCATCCACAGGGATCTTTATTTACAAGTGAGCTGAGGTGAACTTCCCTCATGTATTACTAAAAAAAA